TGTGCATTCATCATTCATAACCCTGAGATCTTTAGCCATATTCTCACCTCTAACCTTTGGTTTACAGAGAGACCCGTCCTGCTGACTTCACCTTTGATGTGCTGAGGTTGAGAATATGCAGCTTCTCTCCAAGCACTGATGTGTACACAGCAGCATGCACAGACCACACCACAGTGACTGTCGTGAATCAGTTTCATCTCTGAACACCAGAGATGTTATTATCTGTGCTACTGCATTGATCCAACTAATTTGGCAGCATCAGTGGCATGTGTTGAGCTCAAAACATAGCTCGACACACCAGAAGGTGCTAAATCCAAGACTGTATGAGTGTGATTTGTGTTTATTCATGCCATACAACAGAACTTCTGGAATCCGTTGTGTTGCAAAGCTTTAGAGTGCACAATAAGACACGTTCCGCTGCTTTACTAATGCAGTCTTTAGCAGGAGGGATGAGACCTCAGGCAGCCCTGCTGGTGTTGTCATTACTATTATTGATTCTTATTTATTCCAGCTGCGAATGCTGTGGTGCCACCCATTGGCTGGTGTTAAGCGACTCAGATGCTTCACAGCTGTGGTGACTGTCAACTTCAGCGCAGCGTGGATGGGATCAATGAAGCACTGAGAGAAAGATGGACTGGCACGAGAGATTGGACATGTGATGTGCCAGAGGAAATGAGATTGGCTCAATGTGGCTTTGTTTGTTTTCTTGCGGCGAGAAAACGTTCCTCATCTGGACTCGGTCTGGACTTTTCTTTCATGTGTGCAATTAAGTTTCATTTACATTTCCTGTAGGGGACAGAATCATTTTCCGAGATGTTTTGTCTGTCATCTTGTTTGTTGAGTCTTGGAAATTTGTTTTCCATCTTACTTCATGTCACGAGTCCTGTGTTTTCAAATCCATATCTGATTTCTGTCAACAGCTCTTGTAGTCGTTCGCACCCATCTTTTGTGCCGGCTGTTTGCGTTCAACCTCCAAATCCCCTTCTGCCACCAGCCTGCTGTTATTTGTTTTCACTGGCATCATGGGAGTGATATTCTTCCTTCAGTTTTTTCTCTCATAAGAGGAGAAGTGGGTTTCTGACCAGATGTTAAAGACCGCTTTAGCAACTCATCCATCTATTAGCGAATGGAGGACCTGGGGATAAAGTGCCGATTCCTCAGGGCTTTGACATGGTTGACCCACACGGTCGTTCTCCTCCAGCCGTCAGAAGACTCCAGTGCCTCAAAACTGTGAATTTTTCCTAGTAAATCTGCTCGGTTTGTTTCTTTCTGCTCATTCTCCATCTCTCTATTTGGCTCCGAGTCCCTGGAGACACTCAGAATGAATTGATCTCTAAACCGAGCCTAATTAAACAGGCTGGTATAAATATGGTGTCTGCTCTCAGTTTAAAAGCGGCTGGTTAACAAGAATAATGGAAACATTTTTCATACCTGAGAGGAGGTACTGCAGAGAAAGACCTGCCAGATGGAGACTGCAGGACAGGAGCAAACAAACAGACATGATCGGTCCTGAGTGCCGCGTTTTATTTGGAATAGCCATCCTGTGGCCCAGCGCATTACTATAAAGTCCACAAGACCATAGGGTGTTAAATGTGCGTAAATGTACATGCAGAGATTGAGTTTGCTGCATAAACCGTGAACCGAGCCTCTCAGAGATGCAGAAAATACAGAATCATGAGCTGCTCATGTGTAAGTGAACGCAGTGCTGTGAACGATTCACTCTGAAACATGCATTGCAACACTTTTAGTAATTAAATCGCAGCCTTTTGCATTTTGATAAGTGCACTAAGCCAAATCGGGACACCACAGTCTAGGTAATTAATGGGAAATGCTGATATTAATAATAATAGATTGTGTAAATGTAAGCAATTAATAAAACAACAGAACAGGCATAACATTCGGCCTCTGCTATGAGAAACTAACATCAATATTACTTGGCATTGTGATAGTTTCACTGCTAGCACACAAGACGTTATGAAGGTATCTTGACAACTTCTGACACAGTTCACAGCAACTTACGCAACACCCTCATGAGGGAAAACACAAAGAATTGCTTTATTTAATGTATCCACGCAAGTCAGAGGTTTTGGTCCCTGATGCGCTCTGAGACTTTGTGTGAACTTGTAAGAGAGCGAAGGAAACTATTTTAAAATGTTCTTGTGTTTCAAAGCTGAATTCTCAGCATCATTACATTACATCTTTACAGTCTTCAGTGTCACACGATCCTTCAGAAATCATTTTAATAGGCTTATTTGCTACTCAAAATACATTTATGATTATTATCATATGCAGATTCATATTTTTGTGTAACGTGTGATGGGTTTGAACAGAAAAGAACAGCATTTATTTGAAATAGAAATCCTTTGTAACATTATAAATGTCTTTGATCAATCTAATGCATCATTTCTTTCAAATAAATAAATTAATTAAGAGTCTTACTGACCCCAAACTTTTGAACAGTTGTATACTATACTTTTTCAGCAATTAATTTGCGTCATGACTCATAAGTGTTCATGGTGACTTAAATTTTATTTTTTTTATGTTTTAAAAAGAAAAATTAATCCATGAACACATGAGTGATGATGCAAATGAAATGCTCAATATGTGTTTTTGACTGAAACCAACCAGAAAGAACTGACCAGAGTAACTGAATCTAACTTTTTAAATCTGTGAATGAAATAATCGCCAAACATTCATAAATACTCAGTATACCGCCCAGCTCTAGCAGCTGATGTCATTGACAGGCTTGATCTGGACTCAATACATCATTACAGAGCATCTTATGTCATTAACAGCTCGTTACATGCCAAGGACTTCTCGCTCCTGCAGGCGCACATGCAGCATCAGCCAGAGCTTGCGAGGGCTCTTCAGCGCTGTTTAAATTAGTCTTCAGCCACTCTGTTTTTCTGTCTCTTCTCGTGCTGTCATTCTGCAGCGCTGCTCTTCCATCTCTTACTTTACTTCTCTGCTTTTTCACACTCAGTTGCCTCCTTCTCCGTTCAGATCCCGTTATTTCTACAATCTTGCCTCTGCTATCTCATGAGCAGTGTGATGTCGGAGAGGTTGCGCACTGCAGAGGGCAGATGTGGCAGATTATGACGCAGAGTTTTGAACCGTGCCCTCTGAACTCTGTGTCAGGCTGTCTCTCTCTCTCTCTCTCTCTCTCTCTCTCTCTCTCTCTCATCATATAGGATATGCAGTGACAGCCCCCCAGCCCCACACTTCTGTATCCTTCAGGCAAATAATGCCTAGCAAAACAATGTAAACCGAGACGCGTGATGAATATTTCATGAAAACAGACCAGCATGCATATCTCAGACATCACTCTGTGTTCTAAACGTAACGCACGCTGCTGTATACCGGGACAGGACGTTACCGACATACTGGTAACTTTTAAGGACTTATTTTGTAAGATGGACACAGAAAAACGTAAAATTTTTATCATAAGTACTTTTAAAGAAACTTTTATACAATAGTATGTGCCAAAACTTTAATTTTTTCAAGTTGAATTTTTATCAAATGTGTTTTTTTATTATATTGTATTTATGATATTGTTGAATGTATCTGCCATGTAATAGCCAGTGAAGCTGATGTGGCAATCAATTTAAAAATAGCCAAAAACTGACATATTAGTGTTATTGCTAAAGCTTTCTCTGAAATTCATTATCTTTAGGATCTTTGCAATCTTGTCGTTTTTATTATTGAATCCATCTTTCATTGGATGGTTTTGCTGTCTTTCTCATCTCCTTGTGCATGTCTAGAACGGAAATGGAGGGAGTCCTTAGGTAGTGATTGCTGTCTCAAGAACGTTTCCTAATTTAGCATCAGACCCTGCAGTCAGTTTCTGTAATGGAATTCACAGAGGGGTTAATAAAGAATGAGTGTGTGTGTGTGTGTGTGTATAATCCTGTCTTTGTGGCTTTCAGAGCAGAAATATGCCGTCATTGAAATGAAGCTGCACCATTAAATTAGTCTTAAAGGGCCATTTCTGTCCTCACTTCATGAATCATTCTCTAGCAGGCCAGACAGAAACATAGGAAACTTTTAATCAATTCTCCCTCACTTTGGTTCGTTTAGTCACTGCTTCGGCCTGCTTGCCCACTGACTGTTCCTTGACCGTACACCGCTGATGCATAGTGCACATTAAAACGGCAGGAGCGCACATAAAAACAGGGAGGAAATTCTCAGGAAATTTCTCTGCTGCTGTAATGAGAAAATCCAAGGAAGCGTTAGTGCTATTTCATGAGATCTGTAAGATATGCAAGAGGTTTTTTGTAGTGTGCATGAGGTTTTATATTAAGTAAACGTCTAGATGTCCTACAACAAGAATTATCCAGTTTTTTTTATGCCAAGGCCCTAAAATATGTGAGGGACCTTCTTCCTTGAATGCAATGACAGAAACATGATTAATGTATAAAGACTAATTTATACACAACACATTAAATACATGTACACTACCATCTAAAAGTTTGTAATATTTATTTATATGTATTTATTTTTTGGTATATAGTGTACTTTTCAAGTAGGATGAATTTAATATATATATACTGTGTATGTATATATATATGTATATATATGTGTGTGTATATGTATACTGTATATATATATAACTGTTGCCACAAAAATAGCACAACTAAATATTGATCATAATAATAAAAAATATTTTATTTATTTTAATTTTTTTTAATATAAATTATAATCAGTTTCAAACCTAAAATCATTAAGCTTTTATTTTGGTGGGTTGCCCACCGCTGGTTTTGAAGCACTTCAGTGAAGTGACAGTTTTGTGTTTTGCTCTGAAAAACAGAAGTTTTTATACAGTATTACAGTTGGACGATCTGAAACGGTGATTGTGCATTAACAGGAATGCAAACAAGTGGTCTGAACTTATTTACCCAGTGCATTTCTTATTTCGGTCATGCACCTGCGCACTATTTATGTGCATCCCTGGTTACAGAGCATGCAGACTTACCAAGCTTATCTGTTCATTCCCTCTACAGGTCTGAATCCGCTGCCCTTTGACCCTGCCGCGAACAACGAACCTCTGCAATTCAGCAGCTCCAATGGTCCTCTGGTCTCTGACTGTCCTCTGGAAAACGGAACAGAAAACAGCAAAAAGAGGAAGAGACCCAACCTTCCTCCAGGTACACTTAATGATTTCCTCTCGCCTCAGACCACGCTCACTCACACTCGTCAGGCCCCACAGTCGTTAACTGCATTCACATCGTTATTTCTGCCGCTGCTCTTTTCCTGACCTTTGAATGTGGGAGGTGAACGCCTGGGGGTCCTGCATTCTGAGAGACGCTCGCTTCAAATGATCACCTTCATTAAAACATCAGAACAGGTTATTTCCACTTTCTAGTATCTCATAATTTGACATAAACATTGAGGTTAATAGAATAAAAATCTAATTAAAATATGCCTGGAATACAACACTAAAAATAAGTGACCAAAGTACAGATTTCTTGAGGAGTGGCTCAAGCATTTCTGCTTGTATCTTCTCAAAATTATGACTAACACCTTGCGATCTGGATTTTCAAAATGTAAAAGTGAATCTGGATATATGCCAGTCATGAACAGAGACTCTGATTCTGACGCTGATAACCTTCAAAATTACACTTGAAGAGTAACGCCCAGGGAATTTTACAAAACTTTCTGATGCAGGTTGGCTCAAATGAACGAGCCTGTTCATATTCATGCTAATGTTAATGGCGTACTAATTAATTGAATTATGATTAGCTGAAAGAAATGGATCTGGGAAAGGCTACTTAATGTTTCTGGTTGTCAAGGCGACTTAATTGGATTAGATTCATTGTTAATGTTAATTAGGCAGTCTTTTTACCGTTTAACATTTTAAAGTCTTTACAGGGCTCCAGACTGCGACCATTTTTTCTGCCGGTGTGACTAATTTTTGTGAGTGGTGCGACCACCGCGTTGTCCAACTCATAAGCGCTGCCATTTCTTTTGCAGAAAGAAAACATCAAACGGCAAACGAAACGAAAGCAAAACTAAACGTGCTACATTTCAGCTGCGCAGTGCGGACCATTTATCAGCTCGGACCGCGACGCAAACAAACTTGTCCGAGCTCAGAACAGCTTTACTCGGGAGCCAAAGTTGATTTCGCGACACTGTTACTGCACAGATGCAACAGTGCTGCGAGATCCAGTGAGAAGCCGTTTCAATTCGCCATACAATGATAAGGCTACTGCGAGATCTAGTGAGAATCATTCAAATTCTGCACAGAAATCTCATACGTCAGGAAACCAGAAGCGGTAACGCTAACAATTCATTTCAGAGTTTGTACAATCTTTTGAGAGAGAAATTCAAACAATTTTCAATGACTTTCAAGCATTTCACACGACTATTTCCAGCACTTTAAAGCTCTAAAATGATCCAATTTTGAATGTAATTTTTAATGGGATAACCAAAATATACTTTGTGGTAAACAAACACTTATGTAAAATCTAAAAAATACATAAAATCACAATTATAACCAGTAGACGGCAGCAGAGGAGCACTTACTGGCTTATTAGTCATCCATTTCTACTTTTTCTCTATATTTTGAAATTATAAAATCACTATTATAAAATATAAAATCATCAAGATATCAGATTTTGTCAGAATTTTACACTTTTTTTGTGTATGAAGTAAGAAAAGTCACAAAGTGCCTTGAAAAACTTTTCTTCAATTTGCTACTAATTCACACATAATCACTGAAGTTGGTCAGTTCCATATACTAGAAGAATAATGGTACATTTAATAAGAGTGGAATATATACTTTTTCTATATAAAAATTAGATTTTGCACCGGTTACTGTTAATAACAGTACATGTTGTATGCATCTTAACTCAAGCTTAGTGCTTTAGTGTCAAATCTGTATGAACAATAAACAAAAGAAAAATTAACAATAAATGAACATGTAATATTATTAGTAACTGCGCTTATTAATGCAAAACAATAGTAATTTTATGAATAAATGATCTATATTTTAATACTCCCGCACACCACCCCCAGCGCTACCAAATCTGCTCCTGGCACCACCATCTGTAGAACTTAGTGGCGCTGGTGCCGCTGCTCTCAAATGTTAGTCTGGAGCCCTGCTTTATTTATGGCCACATGACCAGGGCTGGTGGAATTCATTTACACTATGTGACCATTTTTTACAAGGACAATCCACCTAGGTAATGATGGCTCAACTGTTTTTTTTGTTTTTTATGTGGGTTTTGAACCCGCAACCTTCCGAGTCTGTCATTCGCTTAATAATTGTACATTTCAGCCATTTTGCGTTTCCACACATGCTGTTCTATGTAAATATGGTCTCCATTTGAAGTCTGCCGCTCTGATCTCCAGGCCCCTTGATTGTCATTTCTCCCTGAGGAATTCATGACTTGAAGTGACTCTGATTAGGGATAAATGGCAGCAAGTGACGGTGAGCAGAGCTTCTCATCATCGTATATGCTCAGAGAATTGATACAAATGGAAGTGAAATGGGCTCATATTGTGTTCTGGTCATGGTGAAGAGCTGCCTGTGCAGATCAAAGCTTGCCAGCGAGCTTTAGATCAAAGCTTCCTAGCGCTAATCTAATCTGCCCATTTCAGAACACTTTTTTCTTTAGTGCAAGGACGTCATTTGAGAAAGGCTTAGATGAGCTGTATTCACCATACACCGAATATTTAGACACTCCAGAGTCCGGCTGCTGAAATGGAAGTCAGTGAGGTAATGGGTTTCAGACAAAATGTTTTATTGTTCTGCTGAGGTTGAAGAAGAGCTTTTAAGATTTGTGGTGCTGCTCATTTAGAAGACGTGGGTTTGAATCGGACATCCTGTAAGACATAGTCTTGGCTTAGTGATGAGCTCTGTTGCTCATGCAGACAATGTGATTTTAATCTGGCTCGCAACACTCCCTTATCTTACTCCTCGTATTACTTTCTTTACTCTTCTTTAATTGAAAGAGACAAAATACTAAAACAGGACACAGTAGTAGGTCAGAGCTGTGGCTTAACAGAAAGCTGAGGTGATCATTCAGACAATTTGAGTTCTAATCTGGCTCGCTACATTCTCCAATATTGCTCCTCTTGTTACTTCCTCTACTCTCTTTTAATTTAAAGAGACAGAAGACTAAAATAGGACACTTTCGTATGTTTGAGCAGTGGCTTAACAGAATGCTGAGGTGCTCATTCAGACAATTTGAGTTCTAATCTGGCTCGCAACATTCCCTGATTTTGTTCCTCTTATTATTCTCCTTTGAATGATAAACAACTAAAAATAGGACTTTTTAGAATGTTGGAGCTATGGCTTAACGGGAAGCTGAGGTGCTCATGCAGACAATTTGAGTTCAAATCTTGCTCGCAACATTCTCTAATATTGCGCCTCTTGTTACTTTCTGTACTCTCCTTTAATTGAAAGAAACAAAAGACTAAAATAGGGCACTGTAGTATATCAGTGCTGTGGCTTAACACAAAGCTGAGATGCTCATGCTAAGAATTTGAGTTCAAATCTGGCTCGCAACATTCCCTAACTTTTGCTCCGCTTATTATTCTCCTTTGAATAAAAATGGCAAAAGACTGAAAATAGGACATTGTAGTATGTTGGAGCCATGGCCTAACAGAAAGCGGAGGTGCCAATGCAGACAATTTGAGTTCTAATTTGGCTCTCAACATTTCCTGATCTTGCTTTTATTATTACTCTCCTTTAAAATTGTCACAAGTCTAAAAACAGGTCATGTAGTATGTCAGAGCTGTGGCTTAACAGAAAGCTGAGGTGCTCATGCAGTCAATGAGTTCTAATCAGGCTGGTAATGTTTGCTAATCTTGTCGTTTTAATACTCATTCTAATCTCCTTTAAAATAAAAGCACCAAAAGACCAGAAATAAGAGGTTTGTAGTACAAACTACACTAAGATTGGCTCAACCCAGTGGGAAGTATGCAGTTTGCTTCTCAGTTACTCAATTAGCACCTGTCTGATTTGTTAAACCTTTGATTATGCTGGCTGAATCACGCGACTGTTGTCTCAAATCTTACAATGCCTGGGCTCCTGTAAAGCCACTAGTGCTTCGCAGCCACTCTAAATAGTTGTGCTGTACGTGTCTGCTTAGCAACCGGGAGCTGCTTAATGGGGTTTCTTTTTGAACAACGGCAGCAGTTTCCCCTTCCCGGCCTGTCATTATGCCGTGCTCTTATCCGCCATGACCGTGCCTGATCAATCCGCTCCCTGATGGAAACACATCTAAATGATGAAAATTCGCAGCATCTGGAGCATAATGCATTCAGCCGCTCTGATGTCCTCTGGCAACACAAGACAGAGCCGCTCCTCCGAGGAGTGGAGCTAATGCAGGGGTGTGGACTAATTACCAGCAATGCAGATTTACTCTCGTTAAAGCATTATAATGGATAGATTCATCTCATTAGCGCTGGCACTCCATTAGACGTCCAACCCCCCATCCCCCTGCCCTGCTGCTGATGTTACTGGATAACGGATGCGCTGCAGAGAGCGAGTGGGCGAGAATCGCCATGCTCATACAGGACTAGGGATGCAACGATACCATTTCTGCAGAACCGATCCGATACCAAAACTTTTGAGTATTGGCCAATTCCGATCCGATACCAGCGCGTTTTTTTTTTTTTTTTTAAATCAATGTAGAATTTCTATACTTCTGTGGGTTGACCTGATCATCACTCTTGTGTGTGTTAAACACAATCTGCTAAATATATAGACAACTTCATTTTAATGAAAAATATGACAAAAAATACTATTATAAACTAGGTTAGTGGATAATTCAGCAGCAAAAGTTATTCTAGAAAAGTCATTTGTGCACAATAATTTTATAAAAACATTAAACTAAATTAAACATTTAGTGAAACAACAGTATTTAGTGGGAAACAAATAAAAGTTAATAAGTGTAGGACTAAATCTGGTAAAATGTTACACATTGCTCTTTGTATTGTTGTAAACAGGGCTGGACTGGTAATCGGGCATACCGGGCATTTTCCCGGTGGGCCGACGCACTTAAGGGGCCGACAGAAGTTTGTTTGGTTTATTTTGCCAAGGAGCATCACGCACGGACAGCGAGCAGCCAGTGGCCCATGGGTTTATCTCCTGTACTGACAGAGTAAACCACCCAATCACAATGCTTTATAGACGTAT